TGACCTCAGTTTAGGTGTAGATATTTGAAGGCATTCAGTGCATTTTTATTGTCCCATAATAGAATAATTTGTTACTGAAACTGAAGGGGGAAACGTGCCCAGCCAGCTCTCCTCATGCAACAAACCTTTGTGTTCTAAGTGAGGCACAAGAATAAGTCAAAACTCAGTCACTATCCTTAAAACAACATAGAAAGGTTCTTACAAACTTTGCAGGCTGAAGCCCACTGAATTCAGTCTAAGCTGGAAGTTCACTGCAAGCACATAAGACTTTGGCCTTTATGTTTGGCAACAAATGCATTTTAAAATGAAACACAACTGTGTAAACACTAGTAAATATAAGCTATTCCCTTGCTCTTTCCTTACATGCAATCTGATCCCCAGGTCTCTTATCTGTAGTAACTGTTATCTCTGGTAAACATGATTAGCAAATGCCATCTCAACCAAATGCTTTTTTCTCTGTTAATCCATGCAGACTAAACACAGGAAAAGTTAGATATTTTGATTTAAAAAAATCTATAGCTTTGCAAACAAATTTTAAAAAACCCCAATGTGAATTGGACTGGAAAAAAATCCCAATAATTTTCTGAAGGAAGTTGCTTTTCTCCTCAGCTCCATTAGTTACATGCATAGAGGTTTATATTCTTATAAATGAGACATTTTCTTGGAAAGAACTCAGATATAAGCAATCCCTTATTTGCACTAGCAGGAGCTGGGGAATTAAAAAAACACAAAACAAAATGAAGCAGGAGTAGTCAAGGCTATTTTCTATCATATACTTTTCTTCCCCCATAGCTGAGGATATCTGTCTCAGTCAAAGCAGCCTTGCATGAATAAACTCCGTGTTCCCTGTATTCCCCAGACAGTGAGAAGAACACAATGAAAACCACTACAAAATGCTACAGGTGTCTAATTCAGCATGATGTGAGCACTCACGGCCTGTGAAGCCTGGTGACTGACGGGAGTCTGTAATTCTCATCCAGAATTAGCACTTCGGGTCACGGAGAAGCTCAGATTTATCAGGTTATGGGAGATCTTGAATGCAAACCACCTGAGGGAAAGCATCTTAACTCTAACAGTTCTCTCTCTCACACGGCCACTTCACCACATCTCAGAGCAACATAACCTGAATGTAGAAAAGCCGCATTGTATTCCCTAGGGAAGCTTTTCCCCTCCCCATACGGGTGTACCTAATCTCAAACACAGCAAACTGTGATTCATTTTAAAGCTTTTTTCTGCCTCTTTGAACCAGAGCTGGAGGTGTAATGCTTTGAAATCCAGTAGACCTCAAAGGATGAGCAGTCCCCAAGAAGGACAACTGGTCCTAAACATTAAAAGGCTCTTAATAGAAGAGAAAATATATAAACACAAGACTCAAAGGAAATAATTTTCATTAAGCTCTGGACGCCCCTGCCACACAGTGTGGTGCTGAGGACTAGACCGCGGTGAGCTTTGTAGTGCTTCAGGCTTACAAAGGATTTTGCCTGCTTACATATTAGAGACAAATAGGAGCTTTTCAGCTGCAAATAGCCTTAGTTTCCCTGTTTATAAAAGGAGCCTTGTCTCCAGACCAGCTATACTGGGGAGGGACAGGTAAGGGTACTCACCAGTGGACCTTGGGTATACTACCTTGTGATTCTAACTGCACTGTGTCAAAAAATAATACATATATATAGAAAATAATATATATGTATAAAATATATATATACTAAAACCTGCACATTGTCATGTGGATCAGTTGATATTAAGGTTCAGCAATGACTTTGCATTTGATTACTTTTCAAGGTCAATATCCAAATACATGGTCTATATTTAACAACATCAATAAGTAGTTATATCATTTTAATTGCTATGAACAGCATTGCTTCTCCATGCCTTCTCTCAGTCTGTATTCATCTCATACTGCTGGTTTACATTGTAAACTCCCTAGGTCAGGGCATTCAGTTGCGTGGGTTTTAGTACCTAGCACCATGGGGTTCTTCTCTATGGTTATTTAATGCTACAGCACTGCTACTAGTAAATAATTCTGATTGTCGCTTCTGATTCCGTATCACAGGATTCTTCTCACATATTCTGAGGATGCTCTTCTCTGATGATTGCTGCGAAGGCCAGTATTTAGCACGATATGGTTTTTCAGTTTGCCCACTGCACAATCTATTACTAGAGCACAGATTCAACCCTCGTGCCTTTTCATGCATATCAAAGAGAGATATCTCTTTCTCCGCTGTTAGCAGCATTAATGATACCCTTCTGAAAAGGACATGTGAACGGTATCATTAAACTGATTTGCAAGCACAGGTGTAAAGGGTTTTTTTGTTGTGTTTTGTACATATGGAGAAATGTTATATTACATGATAAAAATAGGTATAAAGTGTGAGAAGAAATAGGAAAGACAACACAGAGGGCTAGATGACTGGTATAGGGCTCCTCCAACTGAACTAGTCTAGTATAGTCTATTCAAAACTTATCTCACTTGCTCCAACTTACTCAACTCTTCTTTAAGACTAAAGGATCTTTCAAACACAAGGTGTTTCTCCCTGTGTTTAAAGTAAACTCAGTGGGTGAAAATCATATCCCTGTTGAGACAATTATTTAGCAAGTCTGCTTGTATAATCATATACCAAGCAAAGGCCTGTTTTGAAAAATACTAACTTGGATTCCTGAATTGCAGTAGCTTCCCACTAGAGTTAATTTGCTGGCCAGAAATATTGCTTCTTATTCTGGTTTATTTTGCACTATATATATTTTTATTTGTTATACTTGAATGCGCTCCATTATGGCCCACCAAATAGCTTGACCCTATGCCACTCAGAATAACCATGCACCTCAGCAATTGGCAGGGACTGTTTTGTCCAGCTTATCTGAGGAACAAATACCTCACCTTTCCAAAGGAAGTCTTAATTGCACTTTAAAGGATATGAAAGTGAAAATTAATGAATGTATAACTGACCTTCTTTACAGGACTTCCCACTTTACATTAAGCATTTTCCCAGAGTTAACTACCAGCTTTACTTAAAAAACAGCTTCCTTTCTGGTTACATGACATGCCTTTGCAATCATTTCATCAATTTAAAGTATTTCTGTTACATTCTTACCTAAAGAATATGGTATTAGTCTTAGCTTGGGTGTAAGCGTGTGTACCTAAGTGTCCTATTCAGAAATATACATTTATAGTATTACATACCTGTGTGCTTGCATCTGTGTGTTTGTTGTTAGTCTTCAGCAAAGGAAGATGGATCAGAAAGTCAGGGGAGCATTAAGGAGAAGTTACATGAGGCTGCCAGAAGAATCCACAGTTGTTGACTGTGTTGGCAGTGGTTCATTTTTTCATGGGCCTCACTGGAAAACAAAATGCTGAATTGGAACAGTCCTGTGAAAGGTAGTTTTCCTTTCAGAGCTAGGTCAAAAGGGAATCCTTTCCTAGTAAATTAAAATCAGAGCAATAAAATCAGCTGCTTAGGTTGGGACAACAGCACGTCTGGTGAGATAGTGTGATGGGTATAACTCTGTGTAGATAATGCTGAGGATACATAACTTTGCAACCATGGTCACTTATTGTCCATCTCTCCTAGCCTGAGAACAAGAATGCAGTTCAAGCATTATAGAAACTCTTTCATTCCTTGCTGGGTCTCTCTTTTCTTCAGTCTTCTGCTCTCTGGGCCATGCAGAGCCTCCTCTTGCATGTTGAAATGGAATAGTGATACATACTTTTTAGTCTAGGAGTATCTGTGGGTTTGGTGCATTCATCTTTCAGCGCGGGTTGGTCATATGTCAGAGGTTAAGGGGGCTGGTAGCTGTGAATTAAGGGGAAGAACATTAGTAGCAGCTGCAGCAGATATGGCGTTGGGTGTCTCCTTAGGATTTTGTGAGCATAAAAGGATTACAACTAGGTAAAAAATAAATCAAGAATTTAATTATAAACTCTGAAATGTCCTGAAATCAATGCATGCATGACAGGGCATTTTCCAGGGGTGAATGGTGTGATACAAGGTAGTCTACTGTTTCAAAGATATTTTATGGGCTTGAGGCAGCTATGTGGGGTGATTTGAATGGATTAAGCATCTCTATTTGGGTGAGTGTGCAAGAATCTTTGATAGTTAGGCTTCATGAGTGCAAACGAAATTAATTCTTTCCAGGGAAAACAAACCACAGACAGAGCCACTCATGCACCAACTAGTCACAGTTTGCAAGGTTGGCTAAACTTGATCAAAATCCCTAGACAAAAAATGTCATTAAGATCCAGTTAAGGATATAGACAGATATCAATTCCCAGGCAAGAAACTTCATTAAGGTACACTCAAGGTTGTAAACATATGTGCGAATTAAATGCAAACAAGATCCAAACATTGTCATTATTTACAACATTAAATATTTGGAAATGAAAAGTTACTGCTAGAGATAATATGGTTTCTATAAAATTGATAATTAACTTTGAACAAACTGAACTGCTGCTTTTTAGCATTTCCTTACCTTCTGTTGCTAGTTACGATGTTCCCTGCCATGGGATGCTGTGAAAGCTGAAAGTCTACTTGTGTTCCAAAAATCCTGCAAAAAGACAGCTGCAGGTATTGAAAACAAAGCAGGCACTGTTAATTCTGGAGTACCCTGAGCCACAAGTCCTGAAGACATGGAGAACATTCTAAGGAAAATCTTTCAATTTGCCTTGCTCTTGTATGTATCCAAAAAGGCCAGATTGATGGGCTGTTAGAGTGGATGGTCCTCTGGTCTGAAGCAATATTGGTGCCTTCAGTGCATTCCCTGCAGTCACAGCATGGGACTAGATGAGATCTCATGTATACAGAAGCTGTGGGAAGCAGTGCACTGTCTTAGAGAATAAAAGATGCAAAACAAGTAATTAAATGTGAAATCCTTGCAACTAAATTTCAATTGAAGGGTTTAGAAAGGATGTTCTGCTTCTTAAATGCAGTGTTGGACCCTTGAGATATTATTTAATTAGATTTCTCATTATAACACAGTTGCGAACACTGTCTTTTCTCTTCTAGCTTCTATAGTGATTGGGAAATGGTGGTGTGAGATGGAGCCCTGCCTAGAAGGAGAGGAATGTAAGACGTTGCCTGATAATTCTGGATGGATGTGTGCAACTGGCAATAAAATCAAGACCACCAGAGTAAGTCGCCTTTTTGCCTATGCCCAGGAGGTGTTATGGGAAAAGGAGTCACTAATGATTGCTTGCCTGTATCTGTTCATCACCATGTCTGCTGTAAAAGTCTTACAGATAACTGCATACCTCCCCAGTCATCCAACACTTATTATTTAGTGAAAGTTCACAGGGATTCAGGCTCATCATCTGGGTTCAGGCTTGAAAACCAGTAGGCTGAAGCTGCTGAATCACCAGGACACTTTCATACAGATATTGTCACCTCAGAAAAAATCCTGGATCACATCTCCGAGTGTCTTTCTGATGGCTGAATGGAAGAATATTAGATCAAAGGGATCTGCTGGATCCTACATCCATTCCTTGGCTTTTCCAGGCCATATCTGCAATAGCAGCTGTATAGGTGCTTTGTAGCATCAAACAGTGCTGGGGACTCCACTCACTATCTGCATTTGAGGTTTGCAGAGCATCTCTAGCCCCGTGTGCCCGTTAGTGACATACCTTTGAGATGCTGAAGATTTGGGTAAAACAGGCCAACTGGTGATGCCAACTTTCACCATACATCGCTAGGAAAATGCAGAGATACAGCTACAAAGATAGAGAGAGTGAATCAACCAGTTAAACATCTCCTGCTATGAGATTACCTTTGGGAAAAAAAGTACATTTAAGAAATGGATTCCATTTTCTTTCTTGCATTGTGCAATTGTTTCACAAGTGTTTTTGTAAAACTGCCACCTATACCTACTGTATTCCACAAATGTAATTAAATTACGTTCATACCACAATTATTTTTTTTCCTAGGAAAATTACATGGTGGTCAACTCAAAATATTTTTTTATGAATTAATAAATTTTGTTTTTCAGTGACGTGGAAAATAACTTTTGAAATTAAAAAAAGAATTAAACCAAGAAATGTTTCTGTCTTTAAGAAATTTTACATATTCAATAACCGGCTGCTAATCAGAGGAATGTGAAGCTCAGTATTGTGATTTCCTGACTTCTTCCTTTTTCTGCAGTCCTAACTCTAGCAATTTTTCATGTCTTCTAGGCCTTTTGTTGAAAGAGGAGATTCTACCTCAACTAATCCTCATGCAATCTGAATTCTTTCTCACTGTATGATTTAACCCAGAATGAATGATTTCTATTGCAACTTTCTTGAGCAGTGCCTTCTGGCATGGCTGATCTCACCAACATATTTAATTACTAGGATACATACTAATTTAGGAGGTTTTCTCTGCAGAAGGCAGTAAGTGGCCCCTGAAAACAGGATGCATGTTGTCTCTTTGTCATCTCCCAGAGCAAAGGAGAAAGTATACAGGGCACTGTGATTCCTTGACTCACACATGAATTTCTTCCTGCAGCATCTTTGTTGCTGCAAACCACTCTATGCTCACAACTAATCTGTCCACAGTGAAACACCACTGCAAGACTGTGCCCTAATGTACATGCCTTACAGTGCAAGTAAAAAACAAAACCATAAAACCCCCAAAAACTTACTGTATGTCCTTTTCACTGAGGCACCATCTTTCTCACTGGATCTGGGAATTAAAATGGAAGAAAGTGATATTAAAGAAGCAATAAGCAACATGAAGTGTGTTATACTTTTGTTAAATTACAATAATTTGGTACTGCTGCAGTCTGTCTGCAAATTATATAATTTAGGAATTGCATTTGCTTTTTTCTTGTGAAATTGTCCTGCTCTTAACTCCCCCAACCCTCATCATATAAACTAGTTTTAGGCGATAGCCTGCATCTAGAAGCGATTGCTAGAAATGTAGCGGCTTCATTAATATGCAGATGTACGGTCCAATCTATTCAGTATGCATCATTGTATTTCATTTAAATTAAATACTTACAGAGTGAGTGCTCATAACTGAAAAAAATATTTCTTCATTTACCCACAGGAGTTATTTTAATTAGCTTGTGAGGGGAGTACCTTATGGTGCTGCTTCCAGTAGAATTTTGCTTTGGTGCTTTAAAATATCATTACAGAATCCAATTGACAAAGGCAACGTGACATGATGTGCTTAGGAACTGTCTTTTGCATTTTCCAAGCAAAAAATCTACTCCATAATCCCTGAAACTTTGCTTGAATCCAAACTGCTGCATCAAGTCTGGCAACATAAATATAAAATACTAGAAGCAATCAGATCCTGAAACAGGCGTTTGTTTTTCTTTGTTTTGTCATTTCAGATGGCATCAGAGAAAGAGATTACACTATAATCTGTACTGACCCCAATCCAGGCTGCAAGATTGGGCCATGTGTGTCTAATTTATGTAGTTAAGGAAGTTAAGAAAGCAGAAGAAACAGGACAAATAAGTCAACATCCTAACTGTGGTGATTAGCCAAAAAGCTAGAGCAAGTCACCATGGGCTGTAAACCGTTTTAATGAAGGCTTTTCCTCACACTAAATACACGGACATTAGGCAGCTGCTCTTGTCCTGACAGGGAAAACATTCGTGTTTATGACTCGCAGGATTAAAATAACTATTAGTATATTCTCCAAGACTCACAGCAAAGCACATATAAGCATCTCTGTATATATATATATATATATATATATACACACACATATAAATACATGAATATTCACAATATATGTAATTTTACAGTGTAATTTATCACTTCTTGGTTGGTTGTTAGATGTAATAGTGCTTAGTATCACAAGAAGGTGGACAACAGATGCAGTAAAGGCTTTTTGCCAGCACGTCCTCCATTCCTTACTTTTTATACATTTCTTCCTGTGTTTAGTCCTTTAGCATAGCTCACTAATTAAGTTGTTAAACCCAAAGATATAAAGCTCACAGCCTCTGTAAATCAATTTGTTTTCTATTAATGGTCAGAGCAGGTGACAAACTCTGGAAAGAAATCATTTTGTAATTCAATTTTTGGAGCAGTTTCAATGTTGTGGGTTCTTTTTTTTTTTCCTTTTTTTTTTAAAGAACGTAAGTTTCAATGCTTGCCTTAAAAATGTGGGGCTCTTGGAGCTGTAGTAGGACCTGGCTGGAGGTCTACATTTCAGCAACTGGCAGCACCAGGGGAAATGAGAGCACAGTCTCAGTCTGGATGCTGGGAGATGGTGACCACAAAGGCACTTAAATACCTGTAAGAACTAGAGGTGTTAAAAACCATGAAAACATGGCTCTTCGTGCATCCCATGTTTTGCCACTTCTCATCTGACCGAGGGAGTCACTCACAAGCTCTTGGTGTTGCTTTGGTTTCTGCAAAAATGCCCTTTTTATGTAATCCACACTAACAACACCTCTAAATACTTCAACAATCTGTTTTTCTGCACTTGGGGATTGGCAGAGCAGGTCAGCTCAGAGCATCTCTCCAGTTTCACAGCCTGTGCCCTCCATTACAGCCCACCCACACCTCCAGTTCCCAGAGTAACACTTGGTTCACCATGCATTTTGCCATCATAGAAATGCAGGCCATTTTAGGGTGCCCCGAGAGACCCGAGCATCACATTTCTTAGCAGCCATTGCTCATCTCATGCTGCAGCAAACAGCAGCTGCGGTGTTCATGACCCCGTGGTCCCTTGTCATTCCATACTCCTACACCAACCACACCAACACCTGAGGCAGTGTACAAACAAGAAAGAGAGGTATTCATCCCTGAGAGAGAAAACGCATCAGGGTCACTTGTCGGTGGCAAACCAGGAGAGCAGAACATGGGAAATGGGGTAAGGAAGGAAATGGTAAATGAACCCAGAGTCTTATTTTATGGTTTTAAGCTGTACAACTACGTTAATATGTCAAGTGATTTCCAGACTTTTTTCTTTAGAGTGCTAAAGAAACCCCTCTATTTTGTGATAACAGTCTCTGTAATTAAGAAAGTTGTCTGTTCAAAGCAGTAGAGCACAAGGTGATAGTAAATATCTCTTGCCATGAGACTACATTTCAGCATATCACCCATGCTTAGCTAATAATTTGTAGCCCTGATTTAATGCCTGAGCCTGCTCATATTCAAGTCAATTTGAGTTTCGTTGCTGACCTAGTTGTCTAGCAAAGAATTGAACCCCTTGTGCCATTCATCTTGTTTATCAGTTCAGGAAAGAAACAAAAGCCTCTCCTCTAGAGAGCTATTTTTGCTGCTGGTCAGTTCTTATTTCAGCATCCTTAAAAACCGTCTGGGCGGTGGTGTTTCCTCTTCAAGCCATTAGCGTGCTCGCTCAGATCAGTTGTGGTGTTAGTCATAAAGAGCGATGGTTTTATGGTCTGTTGCAGCCGTGTTATCTCACCCAAGGTGAGTAGACGAAGTCAGTCAGACTTTCTGGTCTGTTACATAGCTAGTCATTCCCTATCCTGCCCTTCTTTGGGTGAGTGGGTTGGTGGGGATCCAAATGAACCTGAAAGATGGATCCATCTACATGTCTTTGTCTAGCAGAAGCTACTAGCATCACTCTGAGAAGGGGAGAGTGGAAGGCTGGGGCGAGCATGGCCCCATGCCCAAAGCTGTCCTGCGCCACCAGCCCAAGTGATCAATGCACATCCAGCATCTCCCAAGGCACGGGCAGGAGCTTGCTCAGGGTCTGCCTCTTGTACATCCTTAAATCCCTGCAGCCCCAGAGAAAGACCCTTCTCCCCCAAATATTGTGATTTAAACTCGGCTGTATCATGAGCAGGACAAAATGCTATGAAGCCTCAGTCTGTCTTTCTTCTCATATTTTATATACTGATGCTTTTGCACTTTCTTACTGCAGATCCACCCAAGGACCTAACAGAGCGCCATCTGCAAGGAGACAGTGAAAGCCCTGCTGATTTATGAGGACAAAGTATTGAAAGTTTAAAACCATCTCAGCATTTACAAGCCAAATGGATTTCTTATTTGCACTTTGACTGTTTACCAGATAACAACAGTGGCTTTATTGTGTGAAAGCAAGTATTCGGTGGAAATAATGCCCCTGATTTTTGACAGCTGAAAATAAAAAGGAAGAAAATGGTTCCTTTGGTAAAGTTTCTGAGATTGCGAAGTACAAACAGCAGTCTAAGTTTGGATCTACAATTTACTTTATACCAGTTAAAGTATATATATAGAAATATATATATATTAATATATGATATTTTGAAATAAAAGCCTCACTCTTCAAGAAATTGAATAGTACCACACTTTGCTGCAGCTGCTGTAAATTTTTTTCTTCTTTTTTGTAATGGTCTGGAAGATCCCTACGTGTTTCAGAGAGAAATGTGGCAGTGAAGAGGCAAAGCAAACCTGCTGCGGTACAAGGATGCCTAAGAGCTACACGAATCCTACCGATGTGGCATCCAGAGCTTCCTGTTCCCTTTGGCAGAATGTTGAGGGCATTTGTTGTTCCACTTTGTGTTCTGGAGGCTTTTCCCCTTGTGCAATACTAGCATGCTGGCTTTGCTTCATTAACCATACTTGATTGATATATAACAATGATAATTCTATCCTCTTCCAAGAAAATATTTTTAGAGCTGTTAGATATTCCATGAAGAAGAGATGGACAGCTACTGAGTGAAGTACAGTATGTATTAAAGGTTTATTTATTATTTGGCAGAGTTTGGTAGACTGTGAGCTCCCTTCTTATTAAAGGTGTACTGTACGTACAATGTCTTCAGACTTTGTATAGCTCATAGAGACTACAGTAAAAACCCAGTAACCAACTCCAAAGCTTTGCGTTGTTGGCTCACTAATTCTTTGAAACAACAACAAAGCTATTTCTTTCCAGACCAACATGGGAGAGGGTTTTTACATATGGTTTGGTTTTTTACAAGCCCACTTGCAACTGGTGAACAAGTTTTCAGGTTAAATAAATGCCTCTGTGGACACCTCAAATGCTCAGGCACACCCGCACGCAACGGAGTGCCTGGTTGTGTGCGTCTATCCCACAGCACAGGTGGGAGAAAACCCTAAATTTAAGCTTCCCTTGTTGCAGGCCAGGCTAATTTGCATTGAGAGCATCTGCCACCAGCTAAAAGTATACGCATGGGCAATTCCATGGCACAGCAAATGCACAACAGTTTGCAGTAAGCAAACTGTGTCTAAGCCCTGTCTTAATTTCAGGAATAGTTTCTTTCAGATTAATTTTAATCTGTTTCTTACTAAGGTGAATTCAGCTGAGTTGAGATGCTCTTCAGCAAGGATGCATCCACAGAGACATTGATCTACTCACTGCGAGCGGTTTGAATTCACATGTCTAGCTAAGCTGTTGCTGTTCACCACGCAGCCTGGCTCTTGCATTGCTGAAGAAAGATCACATCTGAGGGCTGACATGGGCAAGCCAAGTTCACATTCCCAGGCACTTTTGCAAGCAGTCCAATTAATTTCAGGGTGTTTATTCACGTGGAAAAATATCCTGCTGTCACGCATAAGTCTGCACAATCTACCTTTCAGTGTGCCTAATGCTACTGAATCAAAAAGGAATAAGGAACTGTAAAACGTGTTCTACCCTGTACAGCTTAATTTCTTTAATATTTCCAATTCCCTTTCAGCCTGCTTACCTGTCTCTCACAGGACCCCTTTGGCCATGCTGATCACTTTTAATCCAGTGCAGAGGAAGTGCTGCATTTCCCAATCTAGAGTTGGTCAAAATTCTCACGCTAACTTTCTTTCTCCTTCAGGGCAACCACTTCAGTCCCTTATGGTTCAAGAGGCAGAAATTTGTCACTGTAATTACACTGTATATTAAAGCAGCGACATGATGTGTCACGCCATAATCCATGCCAGCTCTCCGTGCTGGTCATTGGCTGATGCTCACACTGGAAAAGGATATGCTATTTCCAAGTACCTCTACTATTTCCCTTTCAAAAAATATGAGAGTGAAAAGTGTTCAAGGAAGAAACTTGGTTTTCTTCTGTGCATGGAAAGACTGAATAGGAGCATGTTATGGATCCTAGCACATAGAGACCAGCCTCACCCACAGCCCAACAAGAAGGACATGTATTTTCTGGCCACAGCCTCCTGACTAAACCACAGAAGATACCTGACCCCTAGTCTATGTTTTACATATGGTCTGCCATGACCATGTGTCCTTGGTCCCATCATCTCAATGTGGAGAGGACCACTACCTGCCTGGTTACCCTTAGATAGATGTGATTCCAGAATGAGATCTCAGACTAGCTCCAGGCTCACCTACCACAAGTAAGGAGAAGCACCTCCAGAATAAATCCTTAGCAATTCTTCATTTTACTACAACAGCACTTTAAAAAAACCAGGACCTTCTAGGACCTAGGAAGCCCTTGGTGCACTGGGAGATAGATTCTGCCACTAGGCAATAAGTTGATTAAAAGCCAGGATACATTATCATCCCTTTAACAGCAGGACCTGTGGCACACAAAGCTAAATGGCCACTCAAAATCACATTGGATGGTATGGAAAGTTGAGCAGAAATTGAACGTTGGTTTCCTTCTTCCAAGCCTACTGATAACCCCACACAGCAAACTAACCAATGGCCTCTTGTGCCCTTTGCCAAAGCCTGAGGTATCACCACTGAGAGTTACTTTCCCCACAGCAGTGTGTCTAACATGGCTCAGACTCAGTAGATAACAATGCTTTTGCCTGTGTCTATGAAACATGCCTGTTGAGATTGGGAAATATTAGACTTGCTAAAACATAAGAAGGAAATGTTGTCATTACCACAGCAAAGTTTCTTAGAGATGTTTATGAATTTTTCTTTGCCAGTAGGCAGCCTCAAATATCACCACACCAAGTAAACATCCGCGTGTCTTTGAAGATGCTGCAAAATCTGCTCATGAAGTGTGGCACTGGGAAATTGCTGTGTTAATTAAAATGTTTTAGAGGGGAATTAAGGCCTTTGCAAAAATAATGACTAATAAAACGTGAAGTCAAATCGAGAGCCGGATGCAGCTCCAGTGAACCAAATTGAAAACAATAGTAAAAAACCCAACCAGTTTGGAGTCACGATGATCATGTATTTCAGTGAGATGCTCAGTAACAGTGTGTAGCAGGAAGATGGCAGAGCTGCTTACCTTGGCCAACGGAAACACAATGCATTTAAGTGGTGGAGTAACGGGTCCCACATCCTCATGAGAAAGCGACAGTCATGCCACTCTCTGCACAATGTTTAAAGGTATTTACATCCACAGAAGAGAAAGTTAAAAGTCCTTGCTTTTTGGCAGAAGTCTAGACAGAGACATGTCAGGGAAAAAAGAAAAATTGTTGTAAATGCATCCAGGATAAATTTAGATTTCTGTCAATGTTTCTTCTTCAGATGTGTGAAAAAGCAAGTTATGTAAATCTGAAATGTTTAAGTTGGAAAAAATACTGAAAAGAAAAAAGTATCTACCATCTGCCTATTGATTCAGAAAATCCAGATTATGTGCTTCTGTCCACAAATCTCTGGTAATAAAGAGCTCAGTGTGGTATAACTTAATATTGCTTTGAATATCATACATGCTATATATGAAGAAATATACGGAAACCCATGGAGAAAGTCCACTTCTATGGCCAACAATTATGAATAGCATGATGTGAACCCAAAATTGGCATTACACAGAGAAAGGACTCTGAAGGTGATACAGTAACTGATGAGTGATGCTCTTATCAGACCTATTGATCGGTGATTTACAGAGTTCACAGATATTTTAAGTGGTACACTATATTACCATAAATTATTAGTTATGTTCCTAACTCTCCTCATTTGCTATTTTTCCTTTCTGCTGTATGGTCCAAGTATAATTACAGATCATAGAGAAATTGTGGAGATAAACATACCTTGTTTTGGAAAGCACATCCATTTCATCTGAAGGTAGCAGTCTTTTTTTCTTCTTCAGTGGCAGGTTGAATATTGTGGTCTAAAATGAGCTTCTCTTTTATCAATACCTCAGTCGCATCCCAGTAAGCAGGGTTTAGAGCTTGCCTGACAAAGAAATGGGTCATGCTTCTTTGCTTGGTAGTCTATTTTTTTGTCAGAGAAAAATAAAAACACATTCCACAAATAATCTTGCAGGTAGACAGAAGGAGATGTGTGTACGGGGCAGTTGGTTTAAGGCTGTCAACAATTTTTCTGGTCCACCGGTTTGAAGTCAGATCATAAGCCTGACATATATTTATGGTTTCTTCTCTGAAATGCTCACAGAGTCAAAACACTTAACTTCACAAATATTTGTACTTTATAAAACTATGCCACTCTGAGGAAAAGAAACTGACTTTTCTACTTTGCAGGTAGGAAAGTAAGACTCATAAGACTTGAGACCTGTCTAAGGTTATCCTAATGAACTGCAGCGAGCCAGCAGTAGAACTGAGGACTCCTGGATTTTAGGTCATCGCTGTAGATGGTTCATCTACAGTTCACATCAGTAAGATTTCATTGACTGCAGACCCTGGCTTTTAGCTCAAGTCACAGAGAACAGAATTAGGGTGCCTGCAGTCAAGTGTGGACAATCATCGGCAAGAACCAGCTGCTCAGAGCTTACTCACCTCCCTTCAGCTGGGATTTTCAAACCACTAATGCGTGGAAGACCACTACTAGACTTACTCCAATATCTTCTGCTCCCACAGGGACACAGTGGCACAGTCTTGCCCGAGTCTGGTTTCATGGCTTCTTAATAGAAGTTGCTTTGAGCCTTTCAGATCAGAAAGAGGCATGAAAAAAAAGCACAGAAACGGCTGTTCTTAACTGTGGTGGACTGAGAAACAAATGTAGCCAACAGTCCTCCTTTTGGAGATCACGATTTCTCAGAGATGCCTATCAGATAGCATGATTTTCATGTAAAAGCTGACTTTGAGCATAGAAAGCACACATTCCCTTGCAACAGGAAGTGCCTGAACCAGCCAACAAGAAGCACAAATAACTTGTCCTCAAACAAAAAATGTGAGCACCGCTGCCAGGGGAGAGGTTACCACACAGGGTAACTAAGTCATGGGGAAATAACACCCCCCTCCACTTTATTTTTGACAAATAGTCATCTGTGGGAATGCTTGGCAGATCTTTGGTAAAACTTTTTGCTGTTGCTTCACAAGTACCTCTAATTCCTGAGTGCAGCTCAGAAATATGCAGAGGTCTTGCCCACATGACAGGCTTGGGTATGATGTCTTTTCACCCAAGACTCATTGTCAGCTTATTTTTATCTTCTTATCATGAGGCAATATGGTTGAATTTGTATGACCAGAAACAACATACGTCTTTGAGCATCAAGTTACTAACCCACTTCCATAGTATCTGCTCTGCTTGCTTCTTCAGGTGGCTGTTTTTGATTCAGTTAGAAATGATGGTTAGAGACCCACCCAGATTTGAAACAAACTACCTATAACCTAAAGTATTGCTCAGGAGAATACGTAATTTCTTCCTCCCACCTGCCATTCCTCTTCATTTTCTATTTCATTTCATTTTCATTTCATCTCATCCCCTCTCTTTCACACCACTTAATTATTTTCATCCATCTCTCTTAGTGTTTTATCACCACTACTGCTCCACAGACAGAGAAAAGCAGCTATGCCATCAAGACCCAATTCAGGGAGCTGTCCCCCCCAACAGCTGTGATTTATGTAATGATCTTTCTTTTCCTTTTTCCTGTGTACTTTGGAAGGTGAGATCCCAACCTCACTACAGCTGCTACGCCACCAGCTCCCCATATTTCACTGCCCA